GGAACAGAACTTATGTGGAAACAACAAAATGGAGCTGATCTGGTCCTCACAATAATATCTGTTATCCAGAGAAGGCAGAGCATCCAAGGACAGTGATAATGGTGTCTTTCTCCCTCCATTCCATGGGAAAATTCCAGATACATGGAGCTGTAAATGGTTGGCAGCTGTGACATCAAAGGAGGGGAGAACTCAGGAAACAAAGACGGTGCTGGCTCAAAGCCCTTGGGTATCCCCAGTGTTCTCTAAACTTCCAGGTTTTTAGCATTTCAATATCTAAAAGCCAAGGTGATAATCTTAACTTGAGGATGTCTTCAGAGTTCTTTGGGTATAGTGTTTGGAACACAGCCTTTGGGATTCTTATTCATTTATTCAGGAAGTATTTATTAGAATAACCCTGCCTTTTCAGACATTGTAGAAGCCACCATGAGCAAGAAGGAAAAGTTCCTGTGTCTTGCTGGGGAGGGCGGGGACAGTAAGCAGACAATCTCATTTCAATGCCACAGGTGCAGGGACCCTGCTGTGGGGCACTTTGCACAGGCACTCAGCTGAGAGGCTGAGTGAGAAGGGGATGGGGGGCTTCAAAGTCCGGCTGCTGTTGAAACCAACTTGGCCTAGAGCCTCAGACACACTTGTGCTCTTACTAGGTGACATGCATTTCACAGAGGCTCTAAGAAATGCATTAGATTACTGTATAAAGTACTTAAAACATAGACCAGCAGATGTCAGGGGTTTAGTTTATAAAGCTATTTTGTCCTATAACCATTTTTTCCAAAACTCTCATTTATCAATGAGGATAACAAGGAAGGAAGGAAGTTTTTCTTAAACAGTAGATACTAGGTTCAGAAACAGAAATGAAACAAAGCCCAATCAACTAGTTAATCTCATGCTAGTAGTGTACTCTGCTGTGTGCTCACGGCTGCCCTGAGAGCAGCAGAGACACAGACATTTGGGGCCAGGAGCCTGTAGCCGTCAATGGCTCTGTTATCATGGAGGGAGAAAACTGCCAAATACTCTCTCTCTGCCACTGTCCCAGAGAACATGCTCATAAAAGCAGGTACCCAGTGTGACGTGAGGAGAAGAGCGAGAACACGATTTATTTAAAAGGTTTATTTTGCCTGACAAGAGAGGATTTAGGATGCCCACCCATCAAACTTACTGTCTTGCTGGGACAGAGCTAGTAGCAGTGAATGCAGCAGAACCCACCTGGATGAGGCAGGAAGACTCGTCTGCCATTAGAGACGCCGTGAACATGGAAAGTCTCATGTGCAACAGTGAATGCCAAGAGGGCAGGCGTGTGAGCCGCCATCATCCCTTGACCCCGTTTAGTGGGGTGCAGGGACCCAGTCCTGGTCTTTCTAAGTTTCCTTCAAACTCTGTTTCTATGCCTGGGCCAAGAATTATATTTGCTTGTAAAGGCGATATTTATCAAAATTTATCCCTGTGTCTTGAACTTGTAGACCTTCTGCTATTCATCTTATTGGGCAGCCTGATAAGTGTACATGCTTAAGGAGCAGGTTCTGCAGTGGTGGCTACTGAACGGTATCACAAAACCTGTCCCCTGACTTTGATTAAATAATCCACACTGCTTGTCCTTCCCATGGTTTGGAATTTCATTGTTACCGAAAAATGACTTCTTACATTTTCAAGAATCTCTTACAAATTTCAAATGTCTCTGAGAGGAAGTTTCTTGTGGAAAGTTAGTTTTGGCCAGATTTTTTAAAAGGAATAGTTAGCTTAACGCACAGATAACAGTTTTTTTCTCACTGTTAACTCCAGTGGACTGTCCCTTAGACTCCTGCAAAGGGCAAGGCATCTAAGGCTGAGCCTGGGCTGAGAGAAAGGCTGCAGTGATCACGTCAGTACTGTGTGCGTGAGGGACAGTCTGACAGCATTCATTCAGAGGATTTGTCAAAGATTTGGACCTAGTGTAATAGGTACTTTGAGACAGAGTCCCAGTCTGTCACCCTGGGTAGAGTGCTGTGGCATCATAGCTCATAGCAACCTCAAACTCTTGTGTTTAAGCAATCCTCCTGCCTCAGTCTCCTGAGTATCTGGGACATGCTCCTGCCACTATGCCCTGGGCTAGTTTTTCTATTTTTAGTAGATCTGGGGTCTTGCTCTTGTTCAGGCTGGTCCCCAACAAATGAGCTCAAGCAACCCACCCATCTCTGCCTTCCAAGAGTGCTAAGATTACAGGTGTGGGCCACCGCATGGGTCAATAGACATGCTTGTGATAGTTGTAGTGCTCAAAATATGATTTCAAGGGAAGAGCTTCAAGGTACCATGACAGAAGAGGTACTGAGCATTAGGACTGTGTAAAGGACCCCAAAATAGATGATAGAAAACTGCCAAAGACGGCCTTCCCCTTGCTGACCGTGGCCGTGTACCGCCCAGGCTACCAGATCCTTTACCTGGAGCTGATGTGTCCCAAACCTAAATTATGACAGATTTTTTTTTTCCCAGGAAAACACATCTTTCTTCTTTATATTATTTTTTGCTTGGAAAACCAGAAGTGAGACTATGTGGGTAGCAGGATTGAGTAGTGAGTGATGGTCATCCTTAGAAGGTCCAAACTCTCCATTCACACGTGAGACAACAGAGAACATGAACAGGGTGAAGCAGTAACTGGTGATCGCCCATTTCCAAAATTTTGGACTTTTCGTGGACAGGCTTCTTACAGCTGTTTCTTAGTCAGTAATCACCTGTTTCCTGAGCTAGAACCGAGAACTGTATGATAGGCAAAGCAGGCAATATTGGGCCCTAGCTTTTAATACTAGCTCCTGGTGTGTGAGCTCTGAATCAGACACACCTGGAGTCTGACCTGTGAGTCTGAGCAATTTACATGACTCTGAGTCCTAATTCCTCAATCAATAAATGAAAACATCACTATCCGTATGAAAGTCATACAAAGTACTGGAACCACAGGAAGCACTCAGTAAATTAAGTCCCGTTCTTTGGGTTTACTTCTAATGCTTACTCTGAATTCCCCAGGAACTTGAACCCCGACCACTTATGTAATCTGAGAAGGTACCTATTTGTTTTCTGCTC